ACCAACAATCACCAAGATGGTGCACGACTGGGCGGCGTTCCATTCTGTTGTACGTGGGTTCGCCGTGAGTTGGAGCTGACTCGACAACAACTAACAAGTATAATATTTACACATTAGTAGAAGCCAAGCAAATAAGAAATGGAAAGATTAGCAACAGCAAAAGAAAAATGATCATTAAGGTGCAAAACAAATCCTTAAGATTAGACCAAAATCATCTACATGCCTGAAATGTTAGAACTTTTTCTGGATGCCTTAAATCGTAATCACACTCCATGCCCACATCAAACTTGGGACTGCAGTGAACCGTCTCTCTGCTAAACACACACGTGACTGGCTGGGTTTCACAAAATGATTTTAATAGAAAGGTACAAGATATGACCAAAAATAAATTATCTTTATCTCATTTCTAGCCCAGCAAATTGTACACTACATATAAAATATGGACTAGAATGCAATTTTCCTCTGTTCCTTTTTTGCTTTTAAAATACTGAGACAGCATTTTAATTAAACCTTCTAGACGCAAATCGATACAGTAAAAAAAAAAAAAAAAAAAATACCAACCTTTAATCATTCTACATCCACTCTTTCGACTTGGTTAACAAGATGACGTTTCACTAAGATAAAATATTTAATAATTATCAGATTTACATGTAGAGTTTGTGTGAACAGGTCCATCAGAAGATCCCTTTTCTAAGTTTTAATTCCTGCGCTTCTGAATTAAAACTTAATTTCACTGACTTACTTTCAAAACACAGCATCTGGTTTTTCACCATTCCATTGAGAGAGGGGAGACTAGAAAAAAAACTTTAAAAAATAAATATTTTTAAAGTATACTTTACAGTGATAATGCAATACTTTCGACCTGTGCCTTGGTGCATGTTCGTATCAAATACATGCTTCAAGTTATAATTCTTTTCTATTCATTTCTGTGTGTGTACTATGGTCCACTCAGTCTTCAGGGACTGTTTTTAGCTAATGATCTCTTAAAGTCAGACAGTACCAATCTCTCTTGAAGTACCTCTCCCACTATGAATAAGAAAGACTGAGAAAGAAGTGATGCCTTTGAATCATGGTGTTGGCAAAGAATATTGAATATGCCATAGACTGCCGGAAGAACTAACCTGTCTTGAAGAAGTACAGCCAGAATGTTCCTTACAAGTGAAGATAGAGAGAATTCGTCTCAGGTACTTTGGACATGTTATCAGGAGGGACCAGTCCCCGGAGAAGGACATCATGCTTGGTAACGCAGAGGGTCAGGGACAAAGAGGAAGATCCTCAACGAGATGGATTGACACAGTGGCTGCAACAATGGGCTCAAACGTAACAACAATTATGAGGATGACACAAGACCAGGCAGTGTTTCATTCTGTTGGACGTGGGGTCGCTGTGAGCTGGAAATGACTCCACGGCACGGAACAACAACATCCCGCTCTAGCTTCATACTTGATAATTCCAGTGGCTTGAACAATGTTTTGCAAAAACAAGTTGAAAACGGGTACTGGCAAAATCGTAGAAGAAAAAGGTTTGGAGGGCTACTGAAGCATAGATAGCGCCAGTCTCAGGAGGTCAGAAACTCAAGACGACGGAACAGATAAACTGGACTGAAACTTAGAACAGTTTCCCCTGTCCTCGAGCCCATAATGACGATTTTGAATATGGTTCTGTTTGCCGCTGCCTATATACAAATTTTTGTGAATTCTCCTGCATTGGGAAGATCTTGAATGCACTCCAGGATAAGAAGGAAAAGAAAAAAAAATGCTGACACTCCCAAATCTAGTATATGTTTTTACAATAAAGAACACTGGTCAATATACAACTGAGGAAAAACGGAAACAGATGTGAGCCCTAGAACCACAAGAGTCTGCATTTGCCCAGAAATGCTATTTTAAACACTCTATATGTTGGTCTACTGTTTTTTTGTGGAATCATGCATTCTTGGCATCCTTCAAAGGTTTCAATATGTTACAAGGTTATCCGAAAAGAAAAAAAGGGCTAACGTATCTATCTGGGCAGCTCCGGCCAGATTTCGGTGTACATTTTCATATGAATTGCACTTAACACAACAAACCTTTAGTTTGCAACGAGTTTTCATTCTCCGCGGGCTGAGGCTTGTTTTTCGTAAAACTGCTTTCAAGAGGCACGGGGACACCACACACGGTCCACAGAAGATTCAAACAGAGAGGTGCAATAGTTGCAGTGGTCAACACAAAGATACAGTTTTTTCGAGTAAAACTCTGGTCATGGACAAAAGCCTGTGCCTTTTCGGTTCTTCTCTGGCTGTTAGAACAGCAACACGCTCTAAAACAATTAAGTTACATGCATAATGCTGAAAGAATGTGAGCAATCCTCTAACCAGCTTTAAACCATCTGCTTGATTTCTTTATGGGAGAACACATATAGGAAAAGAGAATTCTCCTTTTGTTCCGTTACATATAGAAATCTTTGGAAGCTTCCAAATACGGTTTGGTTTCGGTAAAATTCTCCAATCCTCTATTATTTTGACATGTAGTCACCCTAAACTATCCCTCATGCTTTCTCCAAAAATCTCCACATGAATTATCTGAAGGACAACTGAAAACCACTTACCAATATACAAGTAACGTTTTATTTTATATTCTATCTTCCATTTGGCATCAGCCTTTCGATGTGTGTTTTTTAAACCAGTGAAATATACAAATCACGCAAGACAGAAATATGTACATTAAAAGTACAGAATAAAGGCCATAGAAGATATACATAATATCTGAATGACAAGTAGAATATTTTACATTAAATAGTTTCTTTTAAAAGCTAGGATTGTTAAACTCAGCTCTCTTCACAAACATGAACCACTAAAAAAGAAACAAAATCTGACTTAGCAAACAAAAAAATTACTTCATGGTTTTTGTATAATAAAAACCAAAAAAGTGACGTTTTAAACTAATTAGTGCTTTTTAATTTCAAGATCTTTTGCTTGCAATTCAATGCAACTGAGGGGAAGTGACTATCCTTGTGCAATAAATTAAGAGCCACAGATGGCGAAGGTGATGTGAATGCCACCAAGCTAAAGAGGCTGCGGGAGATGTCCATTTTGCGAAACTTTTAGAACAATGTAAGTCTGAGAGAAGAACACATTTGACGGCAATTTTTGGAAAGAGGTGTCCTTGTTTAAAAAAACTGAACAAAACAAATAGCTCTATCTTTAGTGAGCTGGATTTTCCTTAACCCGTTGCCGTTGAGTTAATTTCGACTCATAGCGACCCTATAGGACAGAGTAGAGCTGCCCCAGAGGGTTTCCAAGGCTGTAATCTTTACAGAAGCAGACTGCCACATCCTTCTCCCACGGAGCGGCTGGTGGGTTCGAACCACTGACCTTTCGGTTAGCAGCTGAGCGCTTAACCACTGCGCCACCAGGGCTCCTTGGATTTTGTTTAGGGACTATCAAACCCAACAGGCACCAGTTTCCACTCTGCAGAATGAACTATGAAGAAAAGAAACGTTAACGATGCCTCTGAGTTTGGAATACTTCTTAACTTCCGCGTCTGATGAACAAGTAATGCCCTCTCTGGAAGTGTTCAGAAATGGAGGTTGGAGACAAGGGGGCGGGCAGGGGGGATCCAAGAAACGTCAAACCAACGTGCATTTCAGTGAGTCGGACCTTCAAGATTCCTCAGAAACAAGGCTGCTTTGTGGTGCTCAGGGTATGATTGCCTCAGAGCCACAACCAAAGCTCAAGACTGAGAAAACTTTTGGCAAACATGCCAATTGGATTGCAAGAAAGGACGATGATATTCCAGACAGAGAAATAACCCCCGAGTAAACCGTAAATCTAAAATCACTGGCTGCACTGAGATATAATTATATTTATATTTATATATGTATATATTTTATATATATATATGTTATGTACAAAAGACTTTGAGATATCAGGCACCATTAAACCACATTTCCCCCCCCTTATAAATGCAACTGTTCAAGTACACTGGGAACAGTTTTAGGGTACACCTGCAGTATAATAGGAAAAGCTCGAGTGGATAGTCTAAACACACAGGATCGTAACAGTGAAACGTTGCAACACCTCTGTGAACTCCATTAGCCCCACAGTGTCAGTAAAATATAAAACAACTGCTCCTCAAAATAAAAGTTTGGGGGAAAAAAAATCCCTAAGAAGCGAACTGTTTCCCAAGTGGAGCTCCTAAGGTTTCATTTCCTCTCCTACAATCAAAGGGGACCCAGTGGAGCTGCTGTTTGGAAACATGGCCAGCATCCCGGCACACGGAGGAATCAGAGAGGGCTTGGGGTCAAGTGTGGAGGGCAGATTTCACTTTTCTTTCTCAAATAGGTTTTCTGCTCCAGTACAGTGCTGAACGGCCGGCAATTACCTTGGTTGCCTGGGTTGCAGAACTGTGAATGGAATTCATGTATTATTTTCATTATTATCATTTATTAACCAAGTATCCCTAGTAAAATGACAGGATATTTTCCTTTTATATTCAAGCCAATTCCCCTCCCCCAAACAGTCTCGTACCCAGAATTATTCGGGGGAGGATCCTTTTCTGATATGAAAATGTAATTCCTAAAGCAGCTTCAAATCACTATCTTAATAAAGAAGATTTAAGGTTGGCTTTTGTTTTTGTTTAAATTTCTGGGGATTTTCCTCCCAATAGGACCATTTGCTGACGGCATATTTGAGAAGGACGAAACACGTGACAGACCTTTTTTTCTCTGAGGGATATGAGACTCTGACTCTTATGTTTTAAACTACCATTTAAAAACATAAAACGCAGGCGGGCAGCCCCCTGGGAAGGGGGTCTTTTTTTTTTTTTTTTCTTTTAATTTCAAGACCCCACCATGGACCTTTCGACACTCACCAAGGCATTTACAATTTATGTGGGCCACCAAAGCCGAACCGTGCATAGCTTTGTACCACCCTCTTCCAATCGGATCCCACCCATCCTGTAGGACCCCACATTTGAGGAAAAGGGAACGGTTTCCTTTACCTTCCAGATTATACTACGTCCACAGCTAAATTAGGGCACGTATTACTTCCCTCTGCTCCTCTACCTCAAAAGAAGCCTTGTACTACCTTTTAAAAGAGCCACAAAATAAATACTTTTCTTGCTCCCCACCCTCCATTATTGCCAAATAATAATTATAATATTAATAATAAACCACAGAGTTCTTAGATGGGAACAAAAAAAAAAAAAAAATGGTTCCGGTTGCAATTGTTGGGGGAAAATAAAACAATATTTAAAAACAAAAACAAAACAGAATCACTGTACTTTCTATAAATAAGCGGGTCCCGGGAGCGGGGCTGGGTGGCGGGGCGGGCGGCGGGCGCCCACTATTTGCACACGAACTGGTCCACGATCTCTGTGCACTTCTTGCACTTGACGTAGCAGCACCAGTGGAACTTGCAGTGGCAACGCTCTGTCTGCACCGTCTTGAACTGGTCGTAACCACGGCCGCAGCACATGAGCTCGCAGCCGTCCATGCCCTCAGACGTCTTGTTGCACAGGCGGCCCTGCGTACCCAGCGAGCCGGTGCTCTCGTTGCGCACGCAGTAGTCGGGGCTGGCGTCGATGTAAACCAGGTCCTGCGTGGTGGGTGAGTTGAAGCGGCTGTTGACCTGCACCAACTTGCCCCGGCTGTTGAGCCGCATGGCCGCAGCGCTGTCGTACTTCTCCTTCAGGGCATCACCCACCTTGCGGAAGTCCGCCAGCTGCAGCCAGCACGTCTTGAGGCTGCAGGAGCCGGACACGCCGTGGCACTTGCAGGCCACGTCGGCCAGGCTGTACACCGTCTGCAGGAAGACAGGGGGCACTCAGTGTACAAATTCATGGGGGAAGCAGAGGCAGACATGGATCACACAAACAAAGCTCTCCTTGACCTTCTAGATGGATCCATGATCACCAGCTCAGTTACCAACAAACCCGTTGTCATTCAGTCGATTCCGACTCCTGGCTACCCTGTGTGTGTCAGAGTACATCTGTGCTCCTTAGAGTTTTCAGTGGCTGATTTTTTGGAAGTAGATTGCCACGCCTTTCTTTCAAAGTGCCTCTGGGTGGACTCAAACCTTCAACCTTCTGTTTAGCAGTAAACTGCATTTGCACCACCCAGGGATTCCAAAATTAGGGGCTGTGTTATTTCTTCCTCGTTCTCTACCACCAGAAATCTTGTCCTGCCTTCTTTAAGAGGTCTATAAAATATTTTCTTAGCTCCCACTATTACATAATAATTAAAAACAACTACATAGTTCGTGGGAGCCCTGGTGGTGCTGTGGTTTAAGAGTCTGGCTGCGAACCAAAAGGTCAGCAGTTCAAATCCACCAGCCGCTCCTTGAAAACCCTATGGGGCAGTTCTACTCTGTCCTACAGGGTTGCTATGAGTCAGAATCAACTCAACGGTAACAGGTTTGGACATAGTTCTTGAGTGAGAACAGGAAAAAAAAAAATCATTCCAGTTGCTTCTTTTTTGCAGAGAAACAACAATATTAGCAGCAGTTAATACATCTTGAATACTCGCCCCAGTGGCCATTCACAATTTCTTACCTGCCTCGGCTGGATTAGTCCCCACAACCAGCCTAGAAAGGAAGTGCTATGATCATGCCCATTCCATAAAGAAGGAAGACGAGGCCACACAGGTGAGTCACTCACCTAACCTCAGGGAGGCAGGGGTGCCAGGGCTTGAACCCCAGCAGCTGGACTAAGCTCATGCTCAGTGCCCTGCCCAAGGGCACCTAGTTGTTAACTGGTGGGGCTAAAAGGGGGGTCCAGCACAGGTGGGACCTGGGTTCCAATCTTCCCTTACTATTAGTATTATTGCTGTGTGCCAGGTACTATCATAAGGGCCTTGACACTTTTTATCTCATTTAATCCTCCCAGCAACACTATGTCACAGGCTGGATTACAAAGGGTGACACAGGGACGCAAAGAGGCCTGCACGGGTCACACGGCTGGACTGAGGTGGGGGTGGGGGTAGCTGACTTGGACCTCACTCTAGTTTCCCGCACAGTCCCCCACTGCTTAGGCCACTGGAGCCAGGCATACCTGGGTTCTATTCTGATCCTGCCCCTGAATTCAAGCAACTGGCTTCTCACCTCTCTGAACCCCCGTTTTCTATCTTTGGAGGGTACCATGATGGTACCAACCTCCCAGCATTGTTCTGAGCACAGGAAGAACTAGGGGTTCAGGGAAAACTCTTGGAAGAAGGATGCACTTAATAGAACATACTAGTCTTTCCCAAAGGAGCCCTGATGGAGCATGCTTAAGCGCTCGGCTGCTAGACAGAAAGTCCACCAGATGCTCCATAGCAGAAAGATGTGGCAGTCCGCTTCCACGACAATTACAGCCTTGGAAGCCCGGCGGGGCAGTTCTACTCTGTCCTATAGGATCGCTATGAGTTGGAATTGACTTGATGGCAATGGGTTTGGTTTGGGTTTTAGTGTTTCCCAGGGTGACAAGGGCATGGTGTCCTTATCCTGGCCCCCCCCCACCCCGGTCACCTTGGTCGCCCAGAAGCAGCGCCCATGGGCCTGGCCCCAGAGCACTGTGCCTAGCAGTCTACAGCTGCCTATTTATTGATAGCTGGGACTTCCCACAGTTTCTCGGGCCAGTGACCATCTAGAGTCCGTGTGGTGTTGGCGTGTGGGAGAGAGCTCTGCAGGACCATGGGGACCGGGCGAGTTGGAAGACCGCTTCCACCCGGAACAGCTACCTTCTTTCACCCGGAACAGCTACCTTCTTCCACCCGGAACAGCTACCTTCTTCCACCCAGGCTTTCTTAAAGAGGGGCCACAGTGTACTCTCTTCAGCATAAATAGTTGCAGGCACTCATCTAGTCTGAGGAAGGGTTTTGCAAATGTATTTAACCTTTGCTCTCCTTTGAGGAAAATAAAAAGCTAATGCCCCGAAGAGATTCTAATATGATTTGCTGGCATGGTGTCCAACTGCCCTCCCCCTCCCTCCATTATCCTGGAGAGAAACCGGATTCTGTGTAACCTCACCCGCCAGGATCCAAGCTCAGTTCACTGAACAAATAATAAAATTTACTATTTAAAAAAAAAAAAAAAACTCATTGCTGTAGAGTTGATTCCCACTCATAACAACCCTATAGGACAGAGCAGAACTGCCCCATGGGGCTTCCAGGGAGCAGCTGCTGGGTTCAAACTGCTGATCTCTTGGTTAGCGGCTGAGCTCTTAACCACTATGCCACAATATCTATGTATATATATTATATATGTATATTATACACACATATATATAACTATTTTTAAAAATGCAGACATTAAATGAACTTATAACAATAAAGATGCTTTTCAACTCTCTAAAATCCCTTCCCCCTTGCCACTTGGAAATCCCTTGACCCTCTTCCACTGGTTGCCAAGCCTGCAGTGATTTCTCTACATGTCCTGTCTAGTCAATTCTGACTCAGCGACCCTATAGGACAGAGGAGAGCTGCCCGTAGGCTTTCCCAGGAGTGGCTGGTGGATTCAAACTCCTGACCTTTTGTTCAGCAGCCAAGCTCTTAACCACTGTGCCACCAGGGCTCCTCTTTATGTGAGAGAAGTCAAATAAGCCCCCAAGGTGGGTGGGATGCATGGGGTACAAAAAGTCAGCCCCATCTCGCACTGGAGTCACTTCTGGTCCGTGGCGATGGGCACATCTTTTGCACATGTAGAGAAATGTGCTTCTGGTGAGGGTGGGAGCAAGGTCTTATGAGAGGAGAATGGTTGACAGCCCCACCATGGAGCTGCAGAGGGAGAGAGTCCAGACACACTGCAGGTATCATGGCAGTGGGAAGCCAGGGAAAGGTGAGGCCACACTCCCTCTGGGTTTACAGATGGACAGAGTGGAGAGATGAGCAATTATCTGACCCCTCAGAGCAGTGCTGGCAAGAATTTGCAGTTTTGTCCTCCTGCAACATCCCCCAGAAGTTTAACATCAAGGGTGAGGAGAAGGTAGGTTACCAGGAGTTTCTTTACACCCTTTACGTCACAATGTTTCATAATTAAACGATCATTTATCAAGGGATTACTACCGGCCGCCACTAAACCACCCCCTGACCTAGACGGGATCCTACGACGTGGTCGTCGTGTGGATCAAAAACAGTCAAATACTGACACCTGAATATGGTTCAGCCTAATACGCGATCCCAGCTAGGCCTCATAATAACCCTGCGCAGCAGTTACTGCCATTTCACAATGAGGAGGAAACTGAGGCTCCGAGATGAAAAGGAAGAGACAAAGCTAGACTTTAACCTCAATCTCTCCAATTCCAAGACCTATACCCTTCATCCCTCATTTTCTGCCTCCCTGTGATGCATCGGTTTAATTTTAAAAAGCAGCGTGGGCTTATATCTAAATCTACTAACTTTCTTCCACAGCCATGACGTGGATCTCTAGGCCTCAGTTTCCCAATCTTTAAAATGAGGTTATGGGGCCAGAGGGTTTTAAGGCTCCTTCCAGTCCTTCTATGTTCTACTCTGTGATTATCTTTCCTTTTCCTCACCCCAAAAGACTGAAGACTGAAGTCTTCAACCCGAAAGTTCCTGGCACCTACCTTGGGTTCTGTGAAAAAATAATGGCCCTGGTTTTCGATGCTGCCAAAGTTAAGAAAAGCCTTCACCCCCTTCATTTTAAAGCAGCCATAAAGTGCGGTGTGTTTAACCGCAGGGAAAAAATGGGTGTTTTTAACTATTGTGGAGAAGTTTTTCATATCCCACCAGGGAAGGAAAGAGTGGGAACCGGGAGGCTCATAGTGGCTGCAGGACGCTCCTCTCTGGGCACTTCTGAGGTGTTCTCTTCTCTCCAGAGTTACCCTGCCACTGGCTGAGGGTCACAGCTATAAAGTCCACACTGCTAAAAAAAAAAGCAGCAATTTTCCTAGAAAAGGCCTTAAAAAAACCACTCAGGCCCTCAGGTCAGTGATCTGGTGACTTCAGGAGGAGCAGGGAGGAAAAAGGCGAGAGGAGGTAAGGTCTGAAAGCAGGGGTGAGGGCTTCTCAGCTGGGCACCCACTGCCCTAATAACTCCCTCTCCGAGATTTAAACCCAGCCGTGTCTATGTTCCCCAGAGAAGGGAGAAAGTTAGTAACAGTTTTACTTCAAGGTTGCTGGTCATTTGCACTGAGGACTAATTTCAAAGGCAGGGAAAGATTTCCCTGTTCAGGCAACTGCTGGGGCAGCTTGGTGGGAGGGGGCCAGGTGGGAGGACTCCTCCCCAGGAGGCCTTTCTTGGGTGTGGCCCTCTCTGGGGTGGCCTGTGAGTGGGTGGGGCTAGTGAGGAAAGAGCAGAGGGGAGACAGACAGCGACAGAAAGAGATGACGAGACAGCAGCGGAGGAACGGAAAGAGAGGAAAAGGAACCAGGGGCGCCTCGGAAGAAGACAAGGAGGGAGTGACAGGGAGACAGAGGGAGACAGAGAGACACAGAGACAGAGGGATGGACAGAGAGGAGGGATAGAGGGACAGAGCGACCGACAGGGATGTAGAGAGAGGGAGATGGCAGAGGGGGGATAGGGAGACCGGGAGAGACACGGGGTGGATGCGGGGACGGGTCGGAGGGACTGAGACGGGCGGGGCACTCACCCTGCGACCCGCCTCGTTGTTGTGCAGGTTCATGAGGATGCGGGCACTCTCGTAGGAGCCCTTGGCGTGGATGCGCTCCCGCTCCCGTGCGTCCACGAACTCCTTGGCGAAGCGGTAGCCGTAGTCAATGTTGTCGCCGCAGCCGCCCCACAGCCAGTCCCGCGGCAGGTCCTTGGGGCGCCCGGTGCGGCTGCAGCCGCAGGTGGACAGCTCGCCCTCGCGGCACGCTCGGCTCATGGCGTTCACCACCCCCGCGGCGCTCACCGCGTACGTGAAGGCCGTCTCCCGGCTGCCTGCGGGCGAGGAGGCAGGGTCACCTGGGGCACCCGCCCGCACACCTGCCCCGGGCCCTCCTGGATGGGCCTGCAACACACCTCTGGGTCGTCTCGGCGGGCTGAGAGAGCACCCAACACACAGCAGCCCATGAGCCCTCCTGGGAGGCGTAGTCCCTGGACGGGTGGGGGGCAAGGAAAAGCCCCCCACCACACTGCTCCTCCAGCGACCTCCTTGGGGAAACAAGGAGGGCCTCCAACGTACACCCAGGCCGTGGGCCCACGTTGACAGGAAGCAAAGAGAGACCCCAAAAAATGCACAGAAGCAACAAAGAAAGGTGCAGCAGATCCCAGGTATCTTTGCTCTGACATTTCAGAGTCTAAGGCAGGGTTCTCAACAGTCCTAGATCTCTCTCTCAAACGCTTGAAGATATTTGAACCTTCTGATTTCCAAAAATGCACAAGAAAGGAGTCTTTGAAGGACAGCTCAGAATTTGGGTGAACTTCCTTACACTTATCTGAATGTTGGGTATTATTTCCTTTTGAATTACACCAGGGAGAGGACCACAGAATTTGGGAGACTCAGAGCCTCTGAAAGTCTTGGGCTGGAGTCTTACCGGACTCTGCCCGCCTGCCCGCCTGCCTGCAGCCACACTGGCTTCAGCCCTGCCTCCCCATCCTCCTTTGTCAGCTGTCACCTCTCCTCCCCTCTCCATCACGCACACAGTCCATCACAGAACACGGGTCTTTACTCTCCAGGAGGACACTTTGCCACTGGATCCTCGAGGATTCTAAATGAAACTTGCCTCTTCTTAACTCCCAAGCTGATTGGCCTGATACTTCTCATTCAAGAATAAGAGTGTCTACTTTTAAAACAGCCTGTTGCTGCTCTGTTGCTCGGTAACGCCGCTTCTGCAATCCCTGACAGCCTTTGCCTCAAGTGTTAGGACTCCGGCAAGAAGGAAAAAGCACAACGTGGGGGAAAAGAAAAACGTGTCAAGAATCTCTCTGTAAAGCGGTTATAGAAGCCTTGTTTGTAAGAAAAGAAATGGAGGCGAGCATAGACTACCTTAAATGTGGGGACATTTCTACATGGAATAAGAACTTAATCAAAAAAAGTTTTACTATGAGAGAGAAAGGGTTAACACCAAAGCAGCCAAAGCTGGGCCTGGGGGGGTGAGGTGAGGGGGGCTTCACTTTCCTCAACTGTAAAATAAGGGTATTGAAGTGGATGCCTGGGAAGCAAAGGCCCCTTCTGACACGGAAATCCCTGTACCAGAATCTGTTTCTCCTACTCTTACTTCCAGAGCTTGGGAACAACTATATTTCTGGGGAGGGGGAGGGGGAAGGAGACCCCAGACAGCTGATGGACTTAGCCCTGACCAGAGGGTCATTCTGCAAGAGGATGCAATGCCAAGTCAGTACCCAGCAGGATGCCTTTTCTTGGACTTCTGCTCCACACTTCAATCCACAGTCATTCGTGAGTCCCCCTTCCAGGAACAGCCATGGTTCCGATTTACCACAGACCCACCCTCTCACATTATAAGAATGAATAATTTGAGGAGTGTGCTGGTGGTTGGCAAGAGCATCCAGAAAGTTCCTGTGGGGCGTTACATCTATCTAGCTTGAATGAGAGAGGCCGAGAAAGTCGGGGGAGTGGAGAGAAATCAGGAGAGCAGACAGATTCTTGGGAGTTATTTGAGGATTAACACTGATAATACAGAAAAAGCTGTGTCCCTGGCTAGGAGTCTTGCAGAACGAAGAGGTTGTAGCTAGAAGAAAAGGAGATAAAGCGACCCTCTGGGGACAGAGGCAAATAAGACCCTCTCCTTTGAGTATACAGAGCACAAAGGGGCTTTTATACAAAACACTATGATGTTGCTTTTTTTGTAAGTCTACCTTGAGTGTTTCCTTTTTTGCTTCAGAATACAAACCTGGTAGAAGTCGCTGAACTAATTGGTCATGGCAGGGAAAATGTCAGTTTGAAAAGTACTCTTGGGATAATAGCCTGTGTATACAGTCCTCCTGGTTGGAATATCACTAATTCAGTTAGGTTCTCTGTGCAGAATCTACATCCACTTGGGTCCTCACACTCCATGAAAATGGTGCCTTTCTTACATATGCTTTCACAGCGTGGAAACAAAGAAGAGACGGGACAAAAGCTGGAAGGAAAGGGTAGCATGATGAAAAATGAGAAAGTTTCCAGAATGAAGAGTGAGTGGGCCCTTGAAGCAGCGATTGTGCATGGTGCCTGCAAGGCAATGAGCACCTTAGAAAAATGAGTTGAGGACGGGTGGGAGGTCCCAGCCTGAGATTCTCAGACAGTGGCCCCATTACACAGTCAGATTTGCACAGACAATAATCATTCTCAACATCCCTTGTGAATTAAGTGCTGCTGGGTGGACACACACACACACACACACACACACACACACACACACACCCACCCACACACACCTTTCAGCATCAGAGGGGTTTAAACTTTTCCTTATCTCATTCTCCTCCGACATACCCATAAGTGAAAAAGGCAAAGCGAAGGGAATTTTCCCACTATTAGGATCAGGCCTGTGTTTCTCACCCATAAAGATCTATTCTGGTTTTTCTTCTCTCTGACACTTTTTTAAATAAATAAAAGAAGGAAGGTCCCATCAGTGTCCCGCCACCCAGGCACCCACAGCAGCAGCTTTCAGCTCTGAAACACCAGGAGCTTGGGAACGCTTGGCAAGCAGGATGCAGCATGCGCTCTCATCTTCCCAAGATATCAGCTGACTTGACAATAGGATCTGGGAGGCCTTCCTTGGAGGCCATCAGGAGGCACCGCTCCCACCCACTTCCCATGAACCCAGACAGTAGTACTACACAGCTGAGGACCCAAGAGTGTACTTGTGAGGGACGATTAAATATAGGCCTTTGCACCAAGGCCTGCTTGTTCCCCGAGGAAGCAAGCTCTTTGAATCTTGGACCACATTTAAAATAAATCTCCAGCAGAACTCAAATTCACTTAGCAAATGATAGCTTATTCTGAACATTTTGGCCCCGAGCGGGCTAAGTATGAAGACGAGAAGAGGATCTTAAATCAAAGCAGTGTTCAAGTGACTGCACAGAAAAACCATTTCAATTGCTGTTTTCCTTCCTGGTTACCATCAGAGGTGTATGATTTTTGCTAACTCATACACATGCGAAAAAGGGAGTCCCAGAGTTTGAGAGGAAGGCATTTTAGGGCGAATGCATAAGGCAGGGATGAAGGGGGGAATGCTGACAACTCACCATTCTGATATAACTAAAAAAAGTTTTTAGCTCGCTCACAATATCAAAATGCAGGAAAAATTAAATCTCCACCACACCCCCAGTTAACTACATAAGAGGGCCCATATTCGGGGAAACCTTCTGTGTTTCTGAAACTCAACGTCTCGATTCAGATCCCAGTACATACATTAGCACATTTTAATCAGCAGAAAGGACAAAGCCCCATGAAAGTTCACAGGCTGAGGCTGCAGAGCTCATTCCCATTCAATCAGAGAAACAGCGCCCAGTCCCGTATTACTCTAGTTTATGAAACCGCTTGGCTCAGACATCCACTGACAACTCTTGTTTGTTCTCAATGAATGCACTTTTCAGGTTTCTGAAACAAGCATTTTATCCATCTGTGATGGATATTGAGCCAACTTTTTATCTGCAGTCATTATAAGCAGTTAATTAATTGCTCCGATGAATTGCTTCTTATTTTAGAAGTCACAGCAGTCATATTAATTACAAGGGCTTGTTTGCATAAAAGTAAAGAGACCTAAAATATTGGCACTAGAAAACACCCATTGGACCACATCTATCATACAGCAGCGGATCCCATACTATTAAAACCAAACCAGAGGAGGCAGACTGATTTTTCAGAATCATTGCCTTTATCCCAGTTTTAATGCGATCACCTCCCTGAAACAAATAACAAGTTGAAAGCATATTTCAAATCAAGAATTGAACTGTGAGCGATACATTAAAAAGAAAAAAATTTAAGTTTTGAGGTTGATGTCTCTCCCATATGCTTTTATATCAACTGCCAATATCAGAAACGTAAATTAGATCACTCCTAATTAAAATTCCTTCTGGGGCTAAAAATAAAGCTTTTAACATATATAGCTCCATAGCCTCAAGAAATGTCTACATGAGGAAGATTAAAATCTCTTTCACTTCCAACATATTCAGCCTTCTGAAAGATGACAATTTTCACCTTGATGTATGGGCCACTTGAATCGTGGCTTAAGTTAAGAAACTTCATTCAGAAAGTCAAAAGATCTTGAAGTTTAAAAGAGTATAAATGACTCAGCCACTTCTGAGAGACCAAAATAAGTGTTCTGCTTCTATTTTAAACAAAATGCTGTTTACACAAATTAAGTGTTCAGAAAAATGAAGGCATCTGTGAGTCAGCTCTCTTTTTTTAGTTAAAGAAGACCAGAACTTATAATCAGGTGTTGGGACCAGAATTAATACCAACAGCAATAATGACAAAAATCCCCAAATCCATTACTCAACCTGGAAGGGACCCTCAAAATCAAGTATGTAAGTAAACACTAGAGAATTTTTCTAGGAGAAAAGTATATATATATATATATATTCATGTATACATATACATACACATACGTACGTATAGAATTTTTTTAATGCTAAATGGTTTCCTACCTATCTGCATAACCCTGCCAAAAACGGAGGTGTTATCCACGGTGCTGCAGTTCCATCTTCGATGTCGGAATTGGTACTGGCATTCTTTGATGCCTGTCTTCGCGCCTTCTCCGATGTACTGCATGTGGTCCTGATACAAGTGGCACAGTTTCTTCTGTCCTTGAGAAAGTCCTGCCAGTTGGCTGCAGAGAGGCTGCGCTCCTATGATATATACTTCTGACATCTGAACAGGGTTATTCATACCTAGCGACCTGCAAAGGGGGGGAGATGTGCATTCAAGATTTACGTGAACTCTCGAGGTGGGCCCCTGAGCCTTGTCAGCATACATGGTTTCAAGCACACAGATGCTTTCTCTCTCCTACTTGTCTTCATGACAAAGTACGAGGAGGGCTTCATAAAACTCCTCTGTTTAAACTCCACTTAGAAAACGGAGGTATTGTGCAGTCCCCATCCCACCATCTGGCTCCTTGGTTAGGGATTTCACTCGCTGTTACCATAGACCTGAACCAGTATTTCCAAAACCCACTCAGAAAAAGGGGAAGGGCAGTTTCAGGGAAGGGCCTCCGGCATCTGAGAAAGTGACTCACTTTGTCCCACAAAGTGGACTGATCTGCCTTGAAAACACACAAATGCCGAAAGGAGACACAATCTGACATGACTAGAAGACAGCAGTTACTTTGACCTGACTCGTGGAAGAACAGAGGGACAAGTATATAGACTGGAGGAAATCTACCATGTTTCTGGACATTTGAAAAGGGCTCCTTATGTGATTGTAAAGGACCTAAGACAGGGGATCCGGCAAACAGAAGTCACTTTTGACAGTCAGAAAAAAATGCTGTTCATTTACAGGGCAAAAATATCCAGAACACCGTCAAAAATAATCCTCCGGATATATTACAGTCTATCTAGAAAGCCCATAGCAAAAAGAAACGCTCGGTTGGGGACATTTGACTACTTCAAGTCAACCTTCCTTTGATCAAATTTCAAGTCCAAATACTTCCCCACTTGGAGTTTAGCTGTTTTCCTAGAACTCTGCCTACTTGAGACCCGGTAGATTAATAACCTCAAGTGACAGAAAATAAAAGTTGAAACTCACTTTTACTACCCAGAGGTGGCAAAAAGTAAATTTTATAGATAGCTTTACAATTATTAGAGAAGTGAATTTCTGTTCCCTTTCATTGTATGATGTATTATTACAAGTACACATCCGAACAAGGGCCTCATAGAAAAAGGCCTAGATTTATGTTTCAGTTCCCTATGGAGCTGAAGATAAGCATTATCATATGAGCAAATTTAAAAAAAAAAAATCTTATATACATATATGTCTCTATATAGATACATATGATAAATTGCATCCTGAACTCAATGTTCTGCTTTAAATATTCTGCATCATACACATGAATCTTAAAAAATAAAACAAAAAAGAACATGCACATAGAGTGAACTTACCACCAAGAATTGGCTTCTATTACAACCTGGGCGACGGAGAACAATATGGCCAAAGCCATTAGAAAGAACTTGGAAGACATTGCACTGCCAGCCATTCCCAAAGCCACTCCTGGGCTTAATATTCCAATCGACTTCTGGAGAGGGAAGAAAGGAGCAGATGTTTATTGCCTCTCAGATAATTTTCAAGGATACAAGTTTAAACAACGGAAGCATCCGGGTCTCTTAAGTTTACTGTTGATTGACTGCGCTTCTCCTCCTTGAGTTTTTTGATGGCAAGATATAGGCAGTTTCTTTTTCCAAATTAATCCACCCACGCAACCTCACCAGGAAATCTGATTTCGCTGGCATCCTGAGCGCGGGGCACGTCAGCGATTACAAACATGTCTCAATGCTGTTGAGTCAAAGCCCCGGTGCCAGGCGCTGCCTCCTTCCTGCTTGATTGCGTCCCGCACCCCCTCGCTCCCCTCTAGTTCGTGCTGCACTCAGTCCCTCCTAGAGAATTCACTCGAGAACCCGCTGCCACCCTCGTCCTCTCCCCGACCTGGGCCGAGCAACAAGTGGAGCCGGAATTAATTCCATGGGCAAGAGGAGCGCGGAAGGCGAGTGGAGCCCCTGGCGGCTGCGGAGGAGGCGGGGTGGCCGGCGCGGGGTGGGGGGTGGGGGCAGGACGCGGGAGGGAAGGGCAGGGGGTGGGGGGCGAGGCCCCGGGGACCGGCGCGCGAGAGAGCCCAGCTGGGAAATGCAGCTCCGAATTAACATCGTATGTTTCGTAATCAGTTTACGGGCCGATTTGGGGGAAGCCACTTCCAGATGGGGAAAGGCAGTCCAGGTTTCCTTTAGAAAGCGCTCCAGCCAGATTGGGGTGGGGAGAAGGAGATGGGGGCACCCGGGGTACTGAGGAGAGAGAGAAAGGTCCACTCTCCCAACAAAAGAAATGGGAAACCAGTGTCCCTTCCCCTGCCTGAGGTCTCCGGGCTGGGTGCAGCCCAAGGAAGGGATGGCATCCAGAAAAGAGAAGGGTAGTCTGGGTCCCGCTGTCCTCGGAGAGTATCCCTTCCCTGGCCCCAACACACACCCCCGCAACGCTTGATTTTTCACTCTCCCTCCTCCACCCATGTCTGGCAGCAGCTGCCACGGAAGAGGACTGGGAGCCAAAGGGACTTCAATTTCCCTTGGTCCTAGTACGGGGGTGTCGGCTACTTTGCCATCGCGGCACAGTGAACCCGGCCTTGGGAAACTTTCACCCTGCCCTCCATTCAGGCTTCTCCAGCCCTTTGTAGGCTCGCTTTGGTCTGCTCCGAAAAGGTGGGGGTGCAGGGCGAGGCCAAGGCTGGTGCTGGTTGAGTCCCGGCAGAGCCAGCCACGCGCTAGCTCCAGCGCCACGGCTGAGCCCCTGAAGTCGAGCGCGCAGAGGGCCCTGGCAGCGAAGGTTCACAGCAAGAAGAATTTCGGGGGCAGGAGGCAGCCTTGGAAGCTTCCGCCGCCGTTCCTCACCACTGGTGACTTCTCCACCTGTAGGCGGCCACCGCGCGAGGCAGCGGCGGGCACGGATGGGAGGAGCGAGTTTCCAAAATTCCCTTTTACATCTCGGATAAGGGTAACCCGCCCGCGCCGCGCCGCGCCGCGCCGCGCCGCGCCGCCTGCAGTTCCGGAGGGAGCCCCTTCCTCAGCAAAGGAAAGGCGAGCCTCCTCCAGGCGACCAGCGGAAGGGCCCAGACTGGAACCTGCGCGGTGGAAGGGATTAAGAGGACCGAGGCGGCTGTGGAAACACGTAGAGGCTCAGAAGCACGCCGCGGCTTTTCCCTGCGAGCCGCCCCTCACGGGTCCTTTTGGCACTGACACCTCAGGGAGGAAATGCTTATGTGGTCCCCAGCGCCCGCTAACCAGGGCTCCGCGCCCGCGGCCCAGTCGTCCCTAAAGCGCCGCAAAGCGAGGGGCTCGTCCCGGAGAGTAGAAACCTGGGGTATCCCCAGTTTAGGAGAGCGAAGGCACGGTCTGCCTCCCCACCCCCGCCCAAAGTGTCAAGTTTCCTTCCCGGGAGGGGGTGGGCTGCTGGGTCAGTCTCTGGGCGGCCCAGACTGCACAGTCGACTCTCCCCAAAGGCGACTGAAGGCGCGCGGGCGCGCACACACTCATGCACACTCATAGTCGTGCACATTCACACACTCACACGCGTGCACACACACACTCCGACGTGCTTCCGAGCCGGCGGGCCAGGTCGCTGTGGGCCGCGCGCACTTTTCTAGCTTCCCGACAGGCGGGGCGCGCGGGGCGGGGCGCGGGCAGCGGAGAAATTGATAACAGATTCGGCGGATTACAGCGGATCCCTTTGTTAGAGGCAAAGCCACACAAACCGAACCCACTCCCGGCCCAATGCCCCCAAGGACAGTCCACCGTTCCCAGAGCCGGAGCCAATTGGGAGAGGGGCAATCCGGTCTCCGCGACTTGGGTGCCCCCAGCTCCGGGCTGGAAGAGGCCAGGGGTATTCCAAAGGATATCGGGCAGGAGAGCCTCGGGAGTACCGTATCCACTTAACCCCGGACGCGCTTGCCGGCAAACCCCTTGGCCTTCTTCCCGCGCCAACCTCCCGCGTAACCAAAAAAAAAAAAAAAAGGCGCTGCAAGTTTGAAAAATTCGAAGAAGCCACAGCGAACTAATAAATAATAATAAATATAGACTTTGCAGACGTAAACACCCTCGCCTATTTACTGAGAGATCTGATCCGAAAACAGCACAAAATGAAACCTCTCGGGAAACCGCCACAGCGGCATTAAAACAAAAGTTGTGGGCAGAAGCTGAGTTTCCCAAGGAACAGGTTAAATGTTTTCTAACACTTTTGGGGCTCGGGGAGGCCGAAATTTGTTCCTAGAGTACAATGGGGTGCAAGCGCACGGGAGGAGTGAGGTGGGGGTTGGGCGTTCGCGAGCCTTGTTCCCAACCCAGAGCAGCTAAATTTGTGGCTCCCTATTCTGTCTCCCGCTGCATTAACGGTATTCCCAATCCTTCTCTACCAAGTGGGTGGAGAGAGGGGGAAGCAGACGAAACCATCAGGCTGGTCAGAGGACTGGGGGGCGGGGGGGGCAGCAGGGAGCATCAGGACGCACACAAACCCGCGCAGCCCCCGAGTCTTCCGAGATGGCTCCTAAAGAGAAATGATGCAAACGCAGGGCGGAGAACCTCCATCCCTTGGCCACCGGCTCTGCCACCCTTAATCTGGGCATCCTCTACCACAAGGCTCAAAGCGCCCAGGACCTCCCAAGCCTAGGGGAGTGGAATAAGATGAGGGCAGTCGCCTTGTAAGTGGAAGAAGTGTGTTTGCCCTGGGCTCGCGATGGCGAAATGGAGGATGGGAAACTCCAGGCAGAATCTCTGCTTTTGGTGGAAAAGAAATTTTGTTTTCCTGGCTCTGATCTACCCAAAGCAGGGAAAGAGTCGGAGAAACTTTCAGGAGAAAACCTCAGTTGCATTTACAAATTCAAGATGTCCAGCCCCGGGGAATGCGGAGATAAGGGGGCAAAGAGGCGTTGAAGGATGCGCAGGACTAGGCCTAGGCCAGTAGGAGGTCCGTTTGGGGGGAGAAGACAAAGGAGCTGTCATTCCCAGCGCCTCTCACCTGGGTGCAGGGAATCCGCGACAGCCCTACCCGCCCACTCTGCGTCCCATAAACGGGGTGTGTGGGGCTGGTGGGGCGGTATTCGAAGAGAGAGGGCGGAGGGAGCTCCAAGAGCCCAGATTAGTGTGACGGGGCAGTGGGCAGTCTCTGGCCGCCCTGGACTCAGGACCTGGAACAGGAAGGCCCTGCGAGAAGAACGGCCTGGTTCGCTTCTGTTCCTTGCAGGTCGACCGCCTAGACAAGGCTCTTCAGACCCCGTGGCATCCACCTCCCACCCCGGACCCCACAACCATATCACTTAAACCTTCTCACACAGGATGGCTAACTCTCCACACAGGCTCAGCTCTGTTCAGAGGTAGAGCAGAGTGTCCGTGGATGGAGACACAAAATTTAAAGAGTATTTCAATCCCCACTTTTTAATAGACAAGAAACTGAGGCCCAGGGAGGGAACTCAACGCTTGCGGAGATGGGGCCAGGGCCAGACAGGCGTCCTTCTGGGCTGATACTCTGGTTCCTAAGCAGGGGAGAAGAGGTACCAACTCTCGGTTCGGTCGCCCAAATCCCATTTGTTGGGTCGAACCCACGGCCACTTCTGCGCAGTGCTGTTTGTCCTCTGGGGGCCTCCGAGGGGCCCAGCTGGGAGAGTGGGGCCTGGTGGTGGGGAGGGACGAAGGAAGCCAGAGAGCCAAGCAGCTGCGGGCAGCACCAAGGAACGGAGACTGGGAGGCGTCCTACCTCGAGGCGTCCAACAGGGGGCAGCCGGCACCGCCCAGCGGGGACGAAAAAACAGCGTGAACTGACCGGGGCCCAGCGCTCACGGTACTAACCCCTTGTGCACCAGGGCGCACCGGTGAGGGGAGGGGAAGGCGGGGACTCCCAGGTCGTGTTTGGGGAAGGTCCTCCTTTGGGGGAGAAGGGGACGGGCCTAAAAAGCTAGTTTGCCCAAAATACTAGAAAAACTGATCCTTTACACCCCTCCCCCGCAGGGCACGGGTGCACACACTCGGGCACACACATACTCATATTCGACTGCCCCTCCGTCGCGGTGCGTTCTCAGCATTGCCCCCTTGAAACTGGCAGAGGCTGTCTAGAAACCAAAGCTCCGCATCTGGCTGGTTTTGCAGCCAACGTGCGAATGTCGGCAGGAGGGCAGGCGCTGAGGAGGTACGATCCTGCCGCAGGCAGGCCCGGAGTTACTTCCAAACAGCAAGATGTCCATTTAAAGAAAGACGAGAGTGAAGGGGCCCCAATACCAGACAGGGATTGGGAAGTAAAACTGGGCCGCGAGGACTCCAGGTCTTTTTGTCGTTTCGTTTTGTTTTACCTTTTTTCGAGGAAGGGATGTTTTGTTTGCTTTTAGGAAACATCTTAATCCCGACCCTAACGTTATTCTCTAGAAAAATGAAAACAGGGGAGGTCAGGAAAATGGAAATAAGAACCGAGGCTTGCACGATAGAGAAAGGAAAAGTTGTTTGGAAAATAGCAAGTTACATTGCAGGAAGAAAAGTTAACTTTTTGTAAAAGTGAACTCTCAGTGACCTTCGGAGTGTGTGACTCGGCTTTAACACACAACTGACAATTAAAACAAACACGAGTTCACAAACTGCCCCCCACCCGCTCTCCTAACGCAGAGGCCCAAATGCCTCCAAAGGACAAGGCAGACGCCGCTCAGGGAGCCGGGGTGCTCTCTCCTGGCGGACAGGATGAGAGCCACCACCACCACCCCCGCTGCAAAGGGCCGGAGCTCACCCAGTGGCAGCTAATAATGCTAGTAACGCGACCCCGATCTCCGCGCCGGGGTGCGCCCTGGCCCCCAGCCAGGCACTCGTATAGGAGCAGGGTCCTGCAGCGCTCCGGCTCCCTCCCGGGGCCCGCGAGGAGCCTGCAGTCTGGCCTGAGCTGGGATGAAGGTGGATGCTGCTCAGGGATAGCTGGCCCCTAGTCCGGCTGCTAGCTCTCCCAACAGAGGAGTTCCCTTCCCCTTTCCAAGCGCCGGCCACACACCCTCTCGATGCCTGCGCAGTGGACGCTCGGTAAATATTTGTTGAATTGAATCATTATCCTGTTACTGAAATATACATAGTAAATTACACTCGTGGTTCTCCGGGTAAAAGGAACGGCACTGAGTTTTTTTCTGCTATCGCTCTTCCCCACTTTTTCTCAGGATGAATTTGCTCCAAAGTTAAAAAGGTTTGCGAAACAGTTGGTGGGACGAGAAGAGATCTCCCAGGACTCAGAGGCAGTGCGCACGGGGTGGGAGGCGAAAGAATAGGGGTCCCTGCCAGCGACGCGGGAGTTCCAGCCTTCCAAGGTGGTTGGAGAAATGGAGGGACAGGGAGAGGTGAGGAAATTCAGTTAACTTCCAAAAGGAAAAAAAAAGTAGAGGAAAAAAAGTGTCGAGCGTCGGCGGCGCACTGAACACCTACCTTCATGGTTAGGGGGAGGGGGCGCGGGGAGGAAGTCGCCACCCGAGCAAGGGCAGCCGAGGAATCCGAGTGGAGCGGCGGGGTTAAGCCTGGGGGGACGATCCGGCGCAAGGCGTAGGGCTCCTCCGGGACGCCTCGGGCGGGCGCAGAGAACCAAACCTGAAGTGGGTACTGGCACCCGGGCCTGGGCGCCCGAGCTGGGGCAGCGCTGGGATGCGCCCGGGAGCCGAGGAGGCGCAGACGCCCGCGATCGGGCAGCAGGGGCAGGGCCCGGCCAAGGCGCACGGAGCGAGCCGCGGGTCCGGCGAGGGCTCGCAGGCAACTGTTCCGCGGCGAGGCGCTCCCTCTCCAACGTCCATCAGCGACGGCGGTAATTAGGGCTTTCCAACCCCAAATGTGGGCGTGATTGTGCAAAAGACTTTACAACAAATAATAATAAAAAAAATTCTTCACAAGAGGGTGAAAAAAATGCCCCACTATTCCACTCTGGCCTGGGGCGGCGGCGGGGGAGGGAGGAGTGATCCGTGCGCCCAGGTGCCCCCAGTTCATTCACACCACGGATTCTGCAAACTCCCGGCGGCTCACGCCTCCCGATCTCCAGCTCCTCCTCTCCGAGTCTGTGGCCGAAAAGTCTGCTTCCAGGCGCTGATCCGGCGGCCGCGAGTGAGTGTGTGGACGTCTGTGTACACACAGCCACACACACACACCCACTGCAGCTTTGGGGCCACCGAACAATCAGGCGCGCATGGCTTTTTCTCCGGGAGATGCCGCTGAAAACGCACAAGTCGCCATCCGAGCTGCAAGAGTCAGCGCCAACTTTTGTCCTTTCATTTTGGGGTCTGGCAAAAAGGGGGCGCAAAATGGGTGGAAGTCGCCCCCGGATGTTCTGCCGCGCGGTGGGTTCCGAGGGACGATGGGCGATTGCCCCAGGGGAGACGCTGGCTCCCCCCCCCCCGCCCCCTTCTTTCTCTCTTCGGATTAATCCCCCTCTTTTCCCCGCCCTTCTAGGGCGAAGGGCGAAGAGGAGCCGGGGCACCGCGAGCGCGGGGCTGGGGAGGGGCGAGGGCTCCGAGCTCCGCCGCGGTGGCTCAGCTCCGGCGGTCCATGGCCGGCGCGACTGCCCACCTCCTCGCTTGGCGCCGGGGCCCGAGGGGCGGGAG